GGGGGGGGGGGGGGGGGGGGAGACAATGGAAGCTGGTATCGAAGTGGACGAACGAGAGGAAATGGACCATCGTCGAGCAACTTTAACTAACTGCAGCTTGGACAATGCAATTATGCAAACGCAACGCGGCGCAGTTTTTTTTTCACATTCGTCACGTCACGTTTTCACTGCTCGCTCGCGACACGTAGAAACGCGGCTAGCCTGAAGATTCCTAGAAAAAAAAAAAAAAAAAAAAAAAAAAAAAAAAACAGAAAAAAAAAATACGAATTCCCAGAACGGAAATCGACCGATTGGTCCATTCCTTTATTCCCTTTTTTATTCTCTCTGTAATTTTTTTTCTCTCGTCCCTCCATTCTCACGGTACGGAAATGTCGGCTAATGCGAAGTACGGTTATGCATATAGTCTCTCCCCGGTAGCTGCCAGTCGATCTTGAAATGCAAGAATGACTGCGCGATGCACTTTAATCGGTGCATTCGTCAAAACTGTCGAGCGATCCGCACGGATGGCGGAACGCTGCAATTCCATAAAGTCTAATAATCATCGATAATCGAAGCTGAAGGTAAATTAGAATAAAAAAAGGGGAGGGGGGGGGGTAGGATAAAAAAGGGAAAAAAATAATGCAAAATCAATCGAACCTACCTTGACGATGACTGCAGCAAACTCACCGAGCAGAAATATAACCTTCCGTCGGTTGCATTGAAAATGATGGACTGACAGCTAGCAGCTGTATTCATAACTCTGTTACGCGTGGCTTCGGTAATTATACAAGAGTGTTATTATTATTTCGTATAATGGTAGAAATATCTGGCGTATTCGGTTGGTCTGATAAAAAGGTACTATAGATGCGTTTCTGTCGCGAGCCAACGAGTAAAGGGGTAATGACGCTTCATTAAATACTCGTCCCTGTAATTTCGTCATCACGGCCGAGCGACTCGTCGACTAATTCATGAACGCAGCTTATTTTTACGCTCGTACGAATACGAGCCCATCGCCAGGCTGCTGTCACCCCCGCCGGGGGACAGGGGGGTCACACCCCCGTGACGCGGTCCTGGACGAGATGGGACCTCTAATTATTTTCCTGTTTTGTGCTTTTTTTTCTCACTTTCATCCACGGATTAATATTACGCAATGCCCCAGCGCTTACCTGCCCGTGTTTAACTACAATGGATGAATACGGGAGACTCATCGAAAATAATCCTAGTTACAATCGGAACGAGGACAATGTTAGTTAAAAAAAAAAAAAAAAAAAAAAAAACAATTTACGTACGTTTCACGATGTGCTCACACCTGCCGCTACTAGGTCGTCACGCTTTGTAGAATATCGTGAAAGCCGAGTGAATATGAATTTTGGAAATTTTTCTTTGTCCGTTTTCTCCTTTTTTTTTCCTATGCGGTTAATGCGATATCAGAAAGTCTTCTATTACTTCAAACGAATACGATTCCCAAGTGAACTGGCAATGTGAAAATGTAACAACGTAGATTATTCGCACGGACGTCAGTTGACTCACGGTTGAAGGAGAAACGATTTTCTTTTTTTCTTTTTTCTTCTACAGGCGGTTCAGCGGGCGCTGTAGTAGCGTCTAGACTGAGCGAAGTCCCAGAATGGAATGTTTTACTCCTGGAGGCTGGTCCGGATGAACCACCAGGCGCCGAAGTCCCCAGCATGGTGGCTTCGTTCCTAGGCAAGTTTTATTTCATCTCCCATCCGTTAAGTAATTTACTACTGGATCTGAACTCTCTGATCTATAGGTGACTTTTTTTAAACAGGATCTAAAATCGATTGGAATCATACCACCACGGGGGAGAAAAATGCCTGTTTGTCGAATAATGGTTCCTGCAGGTGGCCACGTGGTAAGAATCTGGGCGGCTGTAGCGTCCATCACGGTATGATGTACTCGCGTGGAAACCCCAAGGATTACGACGGCTGGGCGGCACTAGGGAACGAGGGCTGGAGCTGGGATGAGGTATCTAATTTTATTATTTTGACTAACCATTCGAGGAATCCTAAACTCGGTGATCGTAACGCATGAAATTAGACGAGGAAAGATCTCGAATTCCCGAAAGTACCGAAGCGGTATAGAATTTCCAAGAATAGAGAGCATCTCGTTGGATGCTGGAGAATTTCCAAGTTCAAAATTCTCAACTGGTCTCGGTGGAACCAGAGATCCTAGAGAATTCCCAATACTCCACCCGCTACAAGATTGCCGGTTGGAATTTCACGGAATAACTGTTGTCTTGAACCAGGTACTTCCGTTCTTCCTTAAATCCGAGAACAACAGTGAGATTTCGCGAGTCGGAAGCAAATATCACGGCTCTAGTGGACTCTTCCCTGTCGAGAGGTTCCCCCATCAGCCGCAAATGGCCTGGGAGATCCTGAAGGCGGGAGCCGAGAAAGGATATCCGATCTCCGAAGACCTCAATGGCGAGCAGCGCGCTGGGTTCAGCGTCGCGCAGACGAATTCGAAGAATGGAGTCAGAGTTAGCAGCGCTGCCGCTTTCCTGAGACCATTCAGAAATCGTAAGAATCTTCACATCGCACTCAACGCCACTGTTACCAAGATCCTGATCAAGGATAAAACGGCCGTCGGAGTGAAGTTCATCCAGGTACGCAGTAGGTACTAGGTACCAAACAGGGCGCGAGATGCCTCTTGCATCTTTCGCTCTTGGTCCAGCTGTCCGATTCGGCTGACGACTGAATTTAAGAGAACGAGTTATCCGTCGGTAGATGTAAACTTAAAAAACCGGACGATCCGGGCTCAATCGGATTTGTCAGGAAACGTCATTCTCCCTTAAAAAGAATACCTGTCATGGGAAATGACTGATGTGGAAGGGAAAAAAAAAAAAAAAAGTTTTGGTAAAAAATGCCCTGACGAATCGAATAATTTCAGGATGGCCAACAACACACGGTTAAAGCTTCGAAGGAGGTGGTGGTTTCCGGCGGCGCCGTGAACTCCCCGCAGCTTCTTCTTCTCTCTGGAATTGGACCAAAGAAAGATCTCCAGGCCGTCAATGTCCCCCACGTCGTCAAGGATCTACCCGGGGTTGGCCAGAATCTTCAAAATCATGTCTCCTACACCGTATCCTGGTCCACGAACCAGCCTAACGTCAACGACCTGGACTGGCCTGCTCTCGTAACGTATTTAGGCTTCCAGCAGGGCCCCATGTCCTCCACGGGACTCTCGCAGGTCACTGCGCTCCTTCCATCTTCATTAACCACAAAGGATGATCCGGATATTCAAATGTTCTTCGGTGGCTATACGGCAGGATGCTCGGCGACTGGTGATATTGGTGCAGTTAAGGGCAGTGGGTTCCGCAGAGTCAGTGCCTCGCCTACCAACATCAAACCACTCAGCAGAGGTACGATCTGCGCGACTTCAGTACTTAGACCCAGTAGCTTAACGTGCACAGACGTACCTGACGGTAGCGCAGTCTGGAAGGGAGCCTTATACGGGATGGGATGCTGGTTCCAGGTACTCTCAAACTCGCCAGCAACAACCCCTTGGACAAGCCGGTGATCTGGGGTAACTACCTGAGCAACGCCCGCGACTCTGCCATCTTGGTCGAAGGTATTCAGATCGCATTGTCCCTGGCCAATACCAGCGCACTTGCCAAGTACAACCTCACGCTGTTGAACCAGCCGCTGCCCGCTTGTTCCGAGCACGCTTTTCTAACTGACGCCTACTGGACATGCGCCATACGTCAGAACACCGATCCTGAAAATCATCAAGCCGGATCCTGCAAAATGGGCCCAAGGTCCGATCCCCTGGCTGTCGTCAATAATCGCTTGCAGGTCCATGGAATAAAAAATCTTCGCGTTGCCGATACCTCGATCATGCCTAAGGTAAGTCCTTTACCTTGACAATTAATTTCGTGAGCTCAAGAGCCGTCTGATTTATTTCTCGAATCGCCGCAGGTCATATCGGGCAACACTGCAGCACCGGCCACGATGATCGCCGAAAGAGCTGCTGACTTCATAAAGGAAGACTGGGACGCAGCGGAAACTCAACGGTAGAGAGCAAGCAAACTAGCATTATTAGGGACACGGCCGAGCTTCATCAGCTTCATTAACGTTATCCGCCAAGCTTGCTCCTTTCCCAAACTCATGCCTAAGGAAGAATCGAAAATTGCACGCAGCCACACAAGCGCACAAGTCGTTACTTTAGTCACCGCAAAATGTTAAATCTTCTTCAGCTTCCCCTGCGAACCGTATTGCCTGCTTGATGAGATATTCCGCAAACTACGACGATTTGTACTGAGGTTAGGATCCTGGCTATTTTGATCCTGATAGCCACATGGATCAGCCACCCTCAAACTGACACTGGAATTTGATCTACGTCCTGACTGAGATGCGGATGGCGTATACTGCAGGAACTTCCGGTTGAACGTAACCAGATCGCAGGTTTTTCTGAATTCTTGTGCCAATTATGAAAAGAGGTATCGTCGTAATTGTAAATTTTATCTTTGCGATTCCTCTGGCACCACTCTTGATACCTTAGAGCATGTTCAAGTAACTAACCCTTACTCCACTTAGACTCCCAAGAGCCTTTTTTCCCAAAATTTTTTACAGAAAATTTAACCTATGCCGTTACCCAAAAAAAAATGTCACGCTACTATTTGCAAGTTAAGAGTCATGCGATGAAAAAGCGGCGACGCAGAGATGCCAAAAAATATTATATTTTACGTTAACACGTACTTCCGGTGCGTAATGATAATCAAAAGTAAATGAAAATAACTTGCCGCTTGCACTTCGTGTGTGGCTTCTATTAAAAATAAAGTCTAGTTGAAAACTGGAAGTGGTAGTCTTGTCAATGTTGCAAACCTGTCAGTAATCTGCACTTTAGTAATAGTTGCACTGCGATAAGGAAATCGACGCTTTTCTAACCTCCTGCTTCTAATGAGGTGCGACTGCAAGGGGGCGATAATTCGCTAAATTTGTAAGTCAATCAGAACGAGGAAGGTGGACGGATGTTGCAAATCGCTGAAATTTACGAGGTGCCAACTGTCACCGACTAACGATAATAGTTATCAGTCTATAGTCAAGGATATCAGCGTACACGACACTTAATTTCCGTGCGGCTTCATTTCCGCTTCGAAGAAGGTAAGAATTATTCATGGTTTTCGATGTTAGCGAGACTATAAAGGCCCGAATGGTGAAAACCCAATAGGCAGAGTGAAAGAAGCCAAGTGGGACATCGAGCGTCGATGCGCAGTAGCTGAGCAGTGAAATATCGATTAAAAAGATAAAATTGAAAAATTGAAGAAAGACATGGTGGGTTTTCTTGAATTTTTATTTAGAACATTTTTCTTCGCTACTTTCAATTCGTCCCGATTACAAAAACGTTAATTTACTTTATTCTCTATCCACGACTGCAGTCGAGTCTATATTTCTCGAATCTACCCATGTGTCCTGATCCTTTCGTCGGAGGACCTCGGCTTACAGATATATGTCACGGCAGTCAGTATCTACTTTTTCTGACACTCCTCAATGCTCTGATCGAAGTTGATCCAAAAATTGGTGACTCTTGCGGTCGTATTGATCCTGTGACGAATCCTGACGATTCTTACGATTTCGTCGTGATTGGGAGTAAGGACATCAAATTATATCTACATTATGTCTGTATATCTTAAGGTCCTTTTTTTCTTTCTATAACGAAATTCGTACTTAGGCGGATCTGCCGGAGCTGTCGTCGCTGGGAGGCTCGGTGAGGTACCGGAGTGGAGGGTCCTTCTTCTTGAGGCAGGTCCTGATGAACCTAGTGGTGCTGATATACCTAGCAACCTTCAAGCCTACATCAGTAATTGAACTAGGCATAATTATTATTATAATTATCCGACTATTACGTCACACTGGATATTCGCTTGACAGAAACCGATATCGATTGGCAATTCTATACAAGAAACGAGTCCTTTGCCTGTCTGGCACGTAATGGCAGTTGCTACTGGCCAAGAGGTAAAAATTTAGGTGGGACTTCGGTCCATCACGGGATGGCCTATCACCGAGGAAATTCCAAGGACTACGAAAGATGGGTGGCTATGGGAAATACAGGCTGGTCCTGGGAGGAAGTAAACAAAGAAATTATTTAAACGCCACAAGAAAGGGAGCATTACACCAAGTTTATTGTCTGTGCTGTTAGGTAATGCCCTACTTTCTAAAATCCGAAGACAACCGTGAGATAAATCGAGTGGGCAATACACATCACGCTACCGGAGGACCAATGCCAGTGGAAAGGTCCTTGATATGCCGATTGGTTTTTACTAATCGTCTTTTTTTGTTAATTTCCCATTTTGTTTCCCTTCTTTCGTACGTAACCAACTTTATCCTTGTACATCCACTAGGTTCCCATGGCAACCCAGCTTCGCCTGGGACATCCTGGCCGCTGCCGAAGAGAAAGGGTACGGCGTGACGGAAGACCTGGTCGGCGACAAGATCACAGGATTCACTGTTGCACAGACGAACAGCAAGGACGGAGTCAGGGTCAGCAGTGCTGCCGCCTTTTTGCGGCCGCACAAAAACCGTACCAACTTGCACACAGCGCTTTATGCAACGGCCACGAAAATTCTATTCGAGAAAAAGCGGGCAGTTGGCGTTGAGTATCTCTTGGTAGGTGGGACAATTCATTTTCTTCCTTATCCGTGAAAAAGAGACGACCGTGCAATTTTTCAAGAACGGAGAACCAAGAAGCGTCAAGGTCAGCCGAGAAGTAATCGTCTCGGCAGGAACTGTAAAGTCCCCACAGCTCTTGCTGCTCTCGGGAATAGGTCCCGAGGATCAGCTGAGGTCGATGGGTATCGAGGTAGTCCAGGAGCTGCCAGGAGTAGGTGAAAACCTTCAGAACCACGTGTCCTACGGCCTGGACTTTGTGCTAGATGAGAAAGAGTACGATGATCTGAACGTTCATTCGGCAGATCAGTACCTCCGCAATCGGACAGGCCCCATGTCGTCGACTGGCCTGGCCCAAGTGACGGGCATCTTGGCATCTAGCTACACCAAGCCGGATGATCCTGACCTGCAGATATTCTTCGCAGGGTATCAGGCTGCGTGCAAAAATAACATTGGCACGTCTGATCTTCTCTCTTTAGGGAACGATCAGAGGACGGTCAGGTTTACAGCCGTGAATCTTCATACCCGTAGCAGAGGTAAGACGTTTCAGAGATTTCGTATGACCTTGTCTTCTCGGTACTTTAAATGGTCCCGGTTCCAGGTCGTCTGACGCTGGCGAGTAAGGACCCCTTGGATGACCCACACATCTGGAGCAACGACCTGGAGGATCCATTGGACGTCAAGGTCGTCGTCGAAGGACTGAACGTGCTCCTGGACCTGGCCAATTCCACAGTCATGAGAAAGCACAATCTGACCTTGGCCACCGCACCACGTGCGGAGTGTGCTCAGCACGTGTTCCCTAGCAATGCCTACTGGTCCTGCGCCGTTCATCAGGACACCCGCACTGAGAATCATCAGGTCGGCTCCTGCAAAATGGGTCCTAGGTCAGACCCTACGTCCGTCGTGGATCCAGAGCTGAAGGTTCATGGACTGGATGGAATCAGAGTGGCAGACGCATCCGTAATGCCGATTGTAAGTTTACGGCAGTAGGTCTGATGTATTCAACTTTTAGTATACCTAACACGATCTATATCGTTAAGGTCGTATCGGGGAATCCCGCTGGAGCGATAACGATGATCGGGGAACGAGCAGCAGATTTTGTTAAAGGAAAATGGAATAAATTGTAATAATTTTAATTCAATATTCGAATTCGTGCCGAGAAGAAAGGAAAATATATATTGAAGGTATTCCAGAGTGCCATATATTAAATAATTAATAATTACTCTTATACATTGTCAAACGCAAATAAATCAATAAACTCAATGATACTGTGAAATTGTGCGATTTTATAACCTTACCTGAAATTGCATAAGACACAACGTAATAACATAACACGATAATAATATGAAAAGACGCAATTGCACGACGGAGTGCCAGTTAAATCACAAGAAACGGTTTCTGTTGGTAAAATATTGAATCTCCTTGTAGTATTTGCCAGGGAAACGGCAGAAGAGATTAGAATCAAATAGAGAGACAGAGAGAGAGAGAGAGAGAGAGAGAGAGAGAGAGAGAGAGAGAGAGAGAGAGAGAGAGAGAGAGAATGGCGCAATATGTACAAAGAGACCACTTATAATATTCTCGTCTCAATTATTAAAATGAAAACAAGAACCCGAGCATCTCGAGTCAAGTGTCTCCTGCGCAGCCGCCATCTTGAAATAATGAAAGCACGATTTACGAGCTGCCATATGCAGGGTCGTCCCTTGATTTATGCGTGGGTTAAGTTCCAGGAGAAAGCCGTGTAAATCAAAGTCGCACGTATAGTCGAAACAGTATAAAAGAAGAGAAGAAGAAAAGAAGAGAAGAAGAAACGAAGTAGCACAAACTGAGGAAGGACTGTAGTCGGCGATTATTAGTAGCAACGCTTATCGCGATAAAGCACAGTGTAGAATATTGCGGCGCCAAAGGATGCTCGGGACGAGAGACAAGCAACGGCGGCGCAACAGGTTGAGAACCAAGCGGCGAGTAGACGTTGTACGTATCGAATATCTGGCCTCGTGCGAGGACTTGATTTTCCTTAAAAGTTCGTCCCACCAGCCCTGACTCTACCGTCTTTCTTATGGATATTGCATATGCGTAGGTGAACATACAGTGGACATACAGTCAATGCCAAGACCCTCTCGTAAAAAGTCTATGCGGATGATGAGATAAACAAATTATAAATAATACATCGAACATCCTGGACTTTGTATATAACTGGAAGGTAAGGACCGTTTTGAATTTCATGAGTGTATCCTTTCTCTCTCTCTCTCTCTCTCTCTCTCTCTCTCTCTCATGCTCGCCCTCTCTATCCTCCTCTCTCCTCCAGCGCGTAGTCGTGAAATAAATTCATGAAAGTGTGGGCAGGCAGAACCTAGAAACCTTAAGGGTGCAACTTTAAACGCTTCTCGAAAGTTCCAAATGTAATTCATAGCGTCTCCCTCTCTAAGCTCGGCTTTCCGGCTAATCGCCATTGCAAAACTAAAAGCCACCAGCCTTCCGAATCTTGCCAGAGGTGCCCTCTGGTTATTCTCTGTTCAGACGTCACCGCGTGGAACACGTGGGAGTCTCTTATGCAATTGGCATTGAAAAAAAAAAAAAAAAAAAAAAAAAAAAAAAAAAAAAAAAAAAAAAAAAAAAAAAAAAACACGTGTCACCGACAATGTACGAACGTGCTGAAAATTCGCAGAAAACAGTTGGACAAAGGCTCACGGGACGCCGTGTATCACAAGGCTGCCAACCGTACGGGACGTTTACACGATAACAAATCCAAGTCGGTCCTTCGCTGTCGCTCCGATGGAGGGTGGTCTTGAGGATTCGCCGGAAATCGGTGTGCGATGGGCGAAAGCTTTGGTGGAAACTTTGTTTCCTCTCTTGGGTGAAAATATTTTGTTGTATCCAAATGGCGCAGGGGATGAAACGACGGGAACGTGTCCCGGACTGTTTGGAAGGCGTACTCTGGTACGGGGATGCTAAAACTTTTGGGGGAAGTCGAGAAAGAATAAAAAAAAAAAAAAAAAGAATAATGCCTGAACGTCCCTCGGAAAAGCCGCGACGTTATCTAACTTAGTCGCGCAGCTTGGCAAAACTTTTTTTTTTCACCCTACACCATCTCGGTTCTCCTTCTCGCCCTTTTGCTTCCCGATGGCTTCTTCTTGCTCTTATTTTTCTTGGACTTGTCCGGTCGGAAAACTAGCTGAGGTCGCTTCTGGTGGGAGGATGACCGGTGAGGGGTGGTGGGGAGGCAAAGGGGGGAATTCAACTTCTGCACGATTCGCCACTCGCCGGTCGACACCGTCAGGATCAAATGGTCCGATTCCACAATGCGTCTAATTTCGAAGTTTTCAAAGAGATCGAGAAAATAATAAATGCAGAAGCAAAATTTTTCTACGATGACGTATAAATTGTCATTGTGACAGACGGCTTTGGGCATGCAACACGTGTCTAAGGGAAAGAAAAAAAGAAAAAAAAAAAAGGAAAAACAATATCGTCAATTTGTTTCTGCGCGCGAATAAAACGTCCAGTGCACGATGGACGGTTTAAATCCGCGAGACATACGTCGTGTCAGGGTGAAATTGCCTGTAGGATATAATCGGACTTTGAGAATCTAATTTACGTGCGACGCTTCGTTATTGAGATATAAAGTCGGAATTTGAAATACGTCGTTTGGTAAATGGCGACGTGCATTGCTATACGAGGGGGAGAAGGGTCACTAATGTGTATACGGGGTGGGCAGATTGAACGGGAACACTGATTACAGGATAAACGCGTGTAAACTCAGTGCCCGAGGGAATGTGGGTGAATTCGACGGGAATGAAATAGGGGATGACGATAGCATCGGTACGTCATGAACGCCAACTGAGAGAGCGAGGGAGAGAGGGGGAGAGAGAGAGAGAGAACAACAATGAAAAATATCAACACGCCCGGTACATATTGATGTAATATACGCAAGGGATGCTGTAATAAAGGGCAATCAATTGCATCACTCTCTTACATGGGAACGGCCTGAGGGTGCATCCATCGAATAAGGGTGGTCGAATTTGATGGGCGACATCAGTCAACACCCTGTATATAAATTGCTACTAGACAATTGTTTTGAAAAAATTTCGCAAAAAAATCATCCTAGCACGGGATCTGCAGACAAATAGTGGCTGACAAATATTTAAGAAATTTGACAAAAATTTATCAATAACTGTATACAAACGATTGCTAGCATACAAATATATACATATATACATGCAAAATTACATATTATAGAAAAATCACAAGGAAATAACAAAAAAAAACATATATATATATATCGTACAGCTGATCGACTGGGCTGCTCGCTAGACATCTGGAACGTTATGAACTTGATACTTGGTCTAAAAAATGAGCAAAGCAATCAGACTGCACAGTTCTTGCCCGGATACCGAGACAGAGTACAGTCCCTTGAGAGATTATCGAAATCCAATTCGCAAGCAGCCAATTAACCCGTGCATCATTACGGTCGGTAATTACGTCGATGTTGTCTCGGACTATATACATTGATGACGACCACTCCCCAAGCCTTTCGATGACGTCACTGACGCAACCATATCACAGCCGAAACAAGCTTCACCAATCAATCGGTTATATCAATCAGCGACGTTATCGTCCAACTAGCATCATACCGCTATCATCCCTTGATAAGAGTGCCATTCCGAAATCCCTAGGGAAACATCGTCCAGTGTAGGATCGAGACTGATAAGATTATCAGTTTAAATTAAAAAGCTTCCTAAAAGTTATAAGCTTTCGGTCATCGTTAATTGATATATTTTATTACTACGTCATTGATTTCACGACATTGATAACTCAATACTCGACACATTCAAGATCTGTTCTTATCGGATCACGATACGTGCGATAAGATCGCTCCGATTCTCGCGTGACCGTAAAAGCTAATTGTCAAGTCATTTGATATGCAGTAATGTGCTAGAACGATTTCAGCTCGTGAAAATATCAATAGCGTCGCTGCAGATGCCGACGCTCGCGCTAATTAATATTTCACGTGCGATCTGAATCGCGTACCCCTCTGACGTCACCAACCCGCCCCCCTTTCATTACGATGAATTCCCCAAGATACCAAACCCACGTGATTTTACTAATGAACGTTTCCACTTTCCCACGATGACATTGATTTTAGGAAATATCGAAAATTATTATTTATCAAGAAAAAATTTATTATTTACAACCCGCGTTCGAAGTACGGATATAATACGTGGGTCTGGGGAGGGGTCTCTTTGACATTGAATGCCCGTAAGTAGATGGCACTTGAAAAAGAAAAGACACTCGCGAACGTGAAATAAAATTTTTTCATTACTTTATTGTTAGGAAGGAGCTTCGACAAACAAGAGCATTTGCACGCGGGTAACGCGCGCGTACTTTTTTTTTTTTTTTTTTTTTTTTTTTTTTTTTTTTTTTTTT